TGAGAGGTGAGGAGCTGAGGGGTCCCCTCCTCACCTCTCACCTGTGCGCCCGCAGTCGAGGATAGGCAAACCCGCAACACGGCGGCGCGTGCTCTGAATCACCCGGTACACGGAAAACTGTGAAACTGTTTGAAAATGTTGGAAAAACTGGAATTAGTAAAAATGTGGAAAAAGAAATAATCTAGTCAACACTTACCTTTTTTTGCAACATTTTTCTGTGTGACGCGTAAAGCCTCTTTCTGCCAGTGGCACGGGCTGCGTGTGGGGCCAACACTCCCAGTTGAGGAGTGGACAGTGTCGGGCCGTGGCGTATCGTTGCCGTCATCTCTTTCATGTCGGCCTCACATGGCTATTTCTGCGCGCGCCCGGAACTTGGCCATAGCACACGACCGTTGTGACCGCGCCGCGCTTCCTGCGCCCCGCCCGCGCCCCGCCCGCGCCCCGCCCGCGGCCCGCCCGCGGTGGGTGAGCAGCACCTCTTTATGTTGCCTTCCACCCTTACCTTTCCCCCTCTAGGCTAGTCATGAACGGCGCGATAGTGAGCCTTATCGCGGTCGGAGGCCTTTTGGGTCTCGAGGAACAAAACTTTCTGAGAAATGACTGTCAAAACCACACCACGACCATTATCAATCAACATAAGTACAGAGTCCAAAATTTCTTAGTGTCGTGTTTTGAAATGAAAAGCAACGTGCCTCTACGGGGTGTTGTGCACGGCGTGGTATATATAGTTCAACAACCTGCGCCTCCCGATTTTTGTTCCCGTTGTTCGCTGGGCAGCGGTGCGCGATATTAATTCTGTAGCAAAACAATCTAAAAGACTAAAGCGGCCGGGGGGGCCCGTTTGCCGGCGGCTGAGTGTGTCGCGGGTGTGGCGCCGGCACCTGCCGCTCTGCCATCGCCACAACAGAATTAAGCCGCTCGCGCATACTAATCGGATCAGGCACAGAAGCCTCCCCCCACCCCTCTCGGCCTCCTTCTCCCTTCTCTCTCCCTTTCTCCTGCGGAATTATATCTCCCCCCCCCCCTCTCTCTCTCTCGCCTCTGGGCGCGGTGTGGGGCCGCACTGCTCCTTTGCCTGTTGCACCGCGCCCTCGCTCGCCCCGCCCCTAATGCAGTTGAATAGTGGCCCGCGCCGTTTCCTGGCGATGGAGAGAGGGCGGGCCGTCGTCGTCGTCGTCGAGCAGCGCGTGGACACGAGGTCTCCGCACGCCAAGTGCTGCTGCCGCCGCGTCCCGCAATGAAAGGCTTGTGTACATGAAATGCAGCAACACCTCCATCACTGAAAAATAGTCGCATCGATAATAGCTGAGAACATTTTCAATGATGTGAGTTGTAAAACTTCAATCTGATTTCGTGAATTTGTACAAGCACTTATTATCGACTTGGGATGATGGTGATATGGACAAGCAAGAATGGAATATCGCAATTTTACAACATATTTTGTAAATAAAAATTACAACAAATGTTGTAAATTAACGAGGATATTTTTCATGGTGCAAGTGTTCGAAATAATCAGTGCCGTGTTTTATTGTAAACAAAAACAAAATTCTGGTCGACAATTTCAAATATGAAAACTATCCAAGTTTCTGAAATTAACATTAGTTTTATAATGCTGCTAAAAAGCCTTTTCAGTCTGCCTTAAGGTTGCCCAGTGGTCGTCGACCATAATGCGGCTATTTTATAAGCTGGATGAAGCTATGTGTTTCAGCCGAAAAGCACCTTTTGCTACTCGTCGTGCGAACCTCGGCGATTTGTCAGCGTCGAGGACGCCAGACTTGACCCGACGGAAGGGGAGGTTCCGGCAGCCGCTGTCGTTAAGGGATGAAAGGCGAGACCTAAGCGGGGGGGGGGGCGCTGTTGCACCTGTTTTGTGAGGAATTTGGGGGATGGAGGTGGTCGCCGGCTCACCTTCCCTCCAGTCAGAACGGAGGGTGCGAGAACAGGCTATGGGGTCGGCCGCAGTCGGTACTGCCCTCTGCCCGTAAGGGAGACGGGGCTGGGAGCAGAAAAGAGCAGGGGATACGGGGCGGAGGTGGCCGCAGTCGCACCTGCCCTCCAGCTGTTGCTAGCCTTGGCGGGCGGGGCCCTGCGCCTACTACTGAGTGGGGGAGGGGGGCCAGGCTGGGCTGGGTCTCACAACGGCGCCACGCCCCGCCACGCCGCGCCACGCCAGCCCAGACCCTAGCAGGGACGATATCGATCCAGTGCCACAGCAGGGGCGCCGGGGCGCGGGGAGGGGGTGACACCCGGGAGCACACCGCCCCAGTATGCAACAGGCCTGCCTCACTGGGGCAGGCTGGAGGCGCCCCGCAGTCCACCAGCTTTTTGTATATTTCCTTGAGCTTTTGTTGTTTTGCTGCAGATTGAAGAACACCCAGAAAAGGACCATTTTGGTGCAAACACTTGCGCTTAGCACAATCCCAAATTAAACCTAGTACCGAAGTAAAGACGGGTTGTGATTAGTAAATGTTCTTGGGGGCTTCGAGCGCATTTCTTGCGTGCGCCAAGTCCAGATTTTTTAAAAGTGGATCTAGAATTCAAATTTGCCGTGCGGTGCTGGTGCCTGAGCCATTAAGATTGAACATCCCCATTGTTTGTGCGTGTCGCTTAGTACTCTTTCCTCGTGTGCCGGAAAGGGGTCAATTTTGCTGTGTGCCAAACAAACGGTGTAAACCAGTGGCTGGTTTTCAATAAGATACATCATCGTAATCTAACCAACAGCACGATGATGAGAAATATGTATTAGAGCAAACAATCATGCCTATGAAGCCCATCAAACTGCGTTATTTGGTCCAATCCAAAATGTGTACTTTTTCGAGTGTGTCGAATGCATATTGGTGTTCAAGCGTAAATTAAATGTTTTTGTTTTAATGTTAATGTTAAAATGTTTTATCATTAAATTGTTGAACACCTCACTGTTATTCAGATACTGTGACGTCACATTTTATATAATGTGAATTGTGTCACATTATTTAGAATATCATGTCACATTCTTTTGAACGTGACACACATTTTGCGCCGCTCTGCCCTCAAGGGCTCGGTGCATAAGAGGCATACCTATGTCACGTGAAAACAAATGTGACATGATATTCTGAATAATGTGACACAATTCACATTTTATAGAATGTGACGTCGTGACGTCACAGTATTTGAATAACAGTGCTAATACTGTTCAACTCAAGTGATGGATTGGCTAATTAAAACACTCGACAGTGTTAAAGTTTCCCTGTGCAACGCTATGGAGATCACTCAAATCAGCATTGTTAAACCCCTTTAAGTATTCAACACGGCGTTGAGCACTTTCCAAGATAACTGTAGATAGAGCAAATGCGGTACGATTCGCAAGAACTTAACGTCTTGTGAGGCAGTCTGCGTGAAAAAAAATACG